TACTCAGTCCGTTACGCCCTCTACGACCTCGACCACTCACTGAATGCTCCGCCCGACCACCTCTCTGCCGACGGTGCTCGCCGCGCTGCGGAAACCACCGGACCAGTGTGAGTTAGTAAATTTGTTTCCTTCTCCGGTTCTTCCTTCCAGTTCAATTCCAATTTTATTTGTTTGCTATGGTTCTATATTGTTTTTTTCTTTTTTCTTTTCTTTTTAATTGAAATTTATAATCTTTAGATGGTAATTTCATGAAATTGCCCTGAATCCCGGTACAGCTTCCTCTTGACTATTCCTCCCAGTGTGGGTTATGAACAAAATCCTTTGAGCTTGTATTACTGCTATGATATGGAGGGCTCTGCTCGGCATTTGAAGAAGTGCATTGCCGAGGTTTGTTGTTTTTGTGCTGATTCTTCAACTTGGTAGCATAGTAAAATGGGGATATAAGGGATGTAGGATGTTTGCCCTCGAATAAGACTTTATATGCAAAGCTAGTGAAAATGAACCACAAAGTCAGTGACTTTTGCAAATTTAGATTGTTTTCTCTTGTAATATTGTTACAATCTTCTTGATATTTATGCTCAAGAGGCAAGCAAAGGCTTTTAGCTACTCTCTTTGGCCAATCTTTTCTTTTCTTTGAACCCTTAAGTTAGTGATCCACACAAGTGTTATAGCTCATTCAGATACTTACTCTCTTCATTTTGTCCGAAATAGGATTTGTGGAATAGTCTGTAGATTGCTGCAAATTCTATTAAATTGTTGCTACTGATATTTGAAGCTACAAGGAAGTTTGCTGACATTACTACTGATTTTTGTTCTTAGGTAACTAATACACCGTGGGGTGAAAGAGTAACATTTGTGTTCAACCCAAACTCAGATTTAGTGGCAAAACCTTTACATGTCAGCCCCTTCATGGTAGGTCCTTCTGTGAATTTTTCACCTCCCTACAATTTTTGTTCATCCTATTAACAGAGTTCATCATTTCATAATAAGTACATGTTTTTTTCTGCGTGTTATTTAAAAATGAATTGATACACCATCTTCTACCTTTTTATGATTCTAATAGACATGATTTCTCTTTTTCTTTGGACACATATGCTGCATCTAGGTCCTCTTATGTAGTTTTTTATTGGCAGAGTTGATTCCTTCTGAAATAATCAGCTATGGTGGTTGTTCTAGTGGCTGGTTGGACCCAGCATGATCTAGTTTCCCACATTGAGGAATGAAGCCAACTTGAATATGATGCTGACAATATGAGTTGTGTTTCAAAAACAAGTAACTAAATTTTAATAAAGTGGCTTATAGAGATTATGGGTACTGAAGATATTTATTTATTAGTGGGATTGACTCATAAATCATAAGCTCTTAAAGTCTCTCATACAGGGTTACTTTGGTATCTAGAAGGTGCTTTCTTTTATTTTCATTCTGCTTAAATTTTGCAATGATATTGAGGTTTCTGTTCTTCTAGTTGACATTTTAAAGATTCCTCAGGATATTTAAGCCTCTGATTAATCATGATGATATCCTGGTTTATACTTTCTTTATAAAGGAAGGGAGAAAAAAAAAGAAAACTTGAAGGTAATTATCTGCTAAAACCAAAGTAATTGTTAAGGTGATATAGGATTGATGCAGTGAAAGAGTGAAGAAGATCAAATTTGCTGTTTTTCACCCCGAGCAATGAGTGATGTTTATATTTCAGTTATTTTAAATCTTTGTTTTATAGAAACCAGGAGATACCAACTTACTTTTTGAAATTATATTGCCAACTAAAAGAAGTGAACATTGGTAATTAACTACTTAAACTGAATTTTATTTACATGTTTGCACCATTTGATAAGGGCCGTGTCTTTCTGTAAAGGTTCATCTAGATATTTAGACAAGCATGTTTAATTTAGCATGCACAATTGTTAATAACTTGCTTTCATCTTAATTTTATTAACAAAAGTTTATCTTTGAAAATTTTAGTCAGCTGTTATGGATAACTTTGCAGGATATGCTTGGGAGTTGGAGCATCAAAGCAAGTGCTCCTGGTGATTCCTTATCTGTAGCAATATCAGTCCAACACCCAGATCTTGGTAACTACTTTGTAGCTACCTTGAAAACCAAAAGAGTTAACTCATCATTGGTGTCTGAGCATGCCCTATTTTTCTGGTTGATGCCTCATAAGGTTGCAGTGTGGATATATTGGCATGTAAGTGCAATTTTTATACCACTGAAGTTGGTTCTTGAAGCTCATGATCATAGTATCAATTATGTTCACTCTTGACCCTTGTTGGTTAATCCTATAGCCCATCTATTTGTGATGTTCAATATGATTTTTCTTTTTCTCTTAGTTAATACTTAAAATCCATTTTTCAAAATTTGACTGACTGATTTAGATTCTTATTTTGGATCCTAATACTTATTCCCTTTATACTGTTCAATAAAGCTGAATATTTGAATTGTGGAATTAGCACATCATTTTCCCTTTGCTTGGCTTGTTTCTGGCTATTCTAAGATACAGAACAAATATTGAACAAAAAGAAAAGAGAATATATATAACAAACTTTGAAGAAGTAAGTACATTTGTCAAGAGAACTTTCTTTCTATATCAAGCATACTTTGAGAAGAGAACTGTGGGCATGATTCATTCTTGTGCTAACTAAGATTTTCAAGTCTGTTACCAAGGTATGTGTTAAGCTCATAGCATCTCTCCCTTGCTCAAGCTGTATTAAACTGTTGTTCCTGTTTTATTCTGAGTGCTGAGTTGGGTTTTCAGTATCTTTTTGGAACATATAGTGGGGTATTGACTCTTTTGAGTGCAAATGAAGGTGAGCTTTCCAAACCTATAGCATAAACTATAGACTTAGCGTACTCATGTTTGGTAAACATGCTAAATGTGGCCCCTATCGAGTCATCCCACTGGAAGCTTTGATTGAAAAACGTTTATAAGATGCTTCAGAATTGAACCAGTGCTTCATACTTCACGCTCATTTGCTATTTCTTTTCAGGCTCTTAAGCTATGGTGGAAGAAGGTGCCATTTGTCCAACACCCAAGGTATTCTAACCCGTCATACAGGGAAGAAGCTTTGATACGTGATAAAAAGTTGCATTGTCGTCCTGAAAATGGTTGGGACAATGACAAACAGACTCAGGTTGATGGAAGAGATATGGGATGTGTGGCCGACAGAAATCACAGGGATCGTTGGTTTTCGTGGAGAGATGCTAAGTGGCCATGGTCTTGATTGCTAAAGTTAAGCTTCCGTTTTGTAAACTATTTTAGTTTGTAAGATTCTTTCTCAATTCCATATGCTTCTCTTAAAGATTAGCAACTGTATATCTCTTGATTTCGCTGCAAATTAAGAGAAGAATAAAATGCCGAGATGTTGAGATGAGGGTGCTCATCATTCCCTTCAATATAATTATTATGGTAGCTTTGAACTTGAAAAGCTAAATTACTTTCAATATTTAATTTATGACCAGTTTGGTCTTTACCTTTGCCTTTGTACTTGAGGCTTCTACATGTTTTTTCACTTTCTTGAAGTGATTATTTTCAATATTGGATTTAAAGCTCATTGCATGCATCCTGAAAGTAAAGGTTCGTTTTAGGTATGGCAAGTTTCACCAGCATTCTCACTTAAACCCTAGTGAAAAGGCTTTCTTTAATTTATCAAGGAAATTAGTGCTTAATTATTGTAAAAATTTGAACCATTAACCTTGGCACAGAATTAAAGGTTTTGCTGGGAGTGGATACTAACTTTAGGTTGACTACACACTACAACATTATTTACCATGATCGTGCATTTTAATTCATTCTGTCATTTTGTTGCCTAATCATTTCTGATCAGCAGGTAATTCTTTCATCAGGATGGTGATTGGTGACCATCTTTGTTGCCACATTGAAAATATGCAGATAACAGATGATATTTTCTGCTTTACAACCTAGCCAGGATCCTATCACAAACTGTCCAATGAGCACACATGACCTTCCCTACCCTATACTCCCACATGAGTATTCAAACGTTGGCACATTCTTCTAGCCAATATGCTGCATTGGATGTTTGGCAAAGGTTCAGCAAAACTAATTGGAAGGCCACAAATTTATCATGAGATTCGTTTGGCCTTGCAAACACATGTTCCATAACTTAAAATTTGGTTGAGACCTTGAGATTTCATTTCACGTGTTCATTATGTTGTTGATATTGAGTCCATGTGTGACTGCCTCACCGGCCTGTCTAGTTTTCTTTTTTATGTTT